GGCAGCATTCCTCCTCCTCCAAACACGGCGAGTTGAGTTGATGCCAAAGAGCTCGATTTTGGTCTCATCTGACCACAACACTTTCACCCAGTTCTCCTCTGAATCATTCAGATGTTCATTGGCAAACTTCAGACAGGCCTGTATATGTGCTTTCTTGAGCAGGGGGACCTTGCGGGCGCTGCAGGATTTCAGTCCTTCACTGCGTAGTGTGTTATCAATTGTTTTCTTGGTGACTATGGTCCCAGCTGCCTTGAGATCATTGACAAGATTCTCCCGTGTAGTTCTGGGCTGATTCCTCACCGTTCTCATGATCATTGCAACTCCACGAGGTGAGATCTTGCATGGAGCCCCAGGCCGAGGGAGATTGACAGTTATTTTGTGTTTCTTCCATTTGCGAATAATCGCACCAACTGTTGTCACCTTCTCACCAAGCTGCTTGGCGATGGTCTTGTAGCCCATTCCAGCCTTGTGTAGGTCTACAATCTTGTCCCTGACATCCTTGGAGAGCTCTTTGGTCTTGGCCATGAGTGGCGAGTTTGGAATCTGATTGATTGATTGCTTCTGTGGACAGGTGTCTTTTATACAGGTAACAAGCTGAGATTAGGAGCACTCTCAGCTTGTTACCTGTATAAAAGACACCTGGGAGCCAGAAATCTTTCTGATTGAGAGGGGGTCAAATACTTGGTTTTGCCGAGTATTAAGTCATGTTTTGCAGAGGGGTCAAATACTTATTTCCCTCATTAAAATGCTAATCAATTTATAACATTTTTTACATGCATTTTTCTGGATTATTTTGTTGTTATTCTGTCTCTCACTGTTCAAATAAACCTACCATTAAAATTATAGACTGATCATGTCTTTGTCAGTGGGCAAACGTACAAAATCAGCAGGGTATCAAATACTTTTTTCCCTCACTGTATAGTGTAGCTCTTTCAATAGGTTAGTTGGAATAGGGTCCAGTAAACTAAATGCATGCTTTTCAATCGAACGCTGCTAGCACCCGCCCACCCGACTAGAATCACCACTCTCGACGGGTCTGACCTAGAGTATGTGGACAACTACAAATATCTAGGTGTCTGGTTAGACTGTAAACTCAACTTCCAGACTCACATAAAGAATCTCCAATCCAAAGTTAAATCTAGAATCGGCTTCCTATTTCGCAACAAAGCCTCCTTCACTCATGCTGCCAAACATGCCCTCGTAAAACTGACTATCCTACCGATCCTTGACTTCGGCGATGTCATTTACAAAATAGCCTCCAACACTCTACTCAGCAAATTGGATGTAGTCTATCACAGTGCCATCCGTTTTGTCTCCAAAGCCCCATACACTACCCACCACTGTGACCTGTACGCTCTTGTTGGCTGGTCCTCACTACATGTTCGTCGTCAAACCCACTGGCTCCAGGCCATCTATAAATCACTGCTAGGCAAATCCCCGCCTTATCTTAGCTCATTGGTCACCATAGCAGCACCCACCCGTAGTCAAATCAAATCAAATCAAATCAAATCAAATCAAATTTTATTGGTCACATGCGCCGAATACAACAGGTGCAGACATTACAGTGAAATGCTTACTTACAGCCCTTAACCAACAGTGCATTTATTTTAAACAAAAAAGTAAGAATAAAACAACAACAAAAAAGTGTTGAGAAAAAAAGAGCAGAAGTAAAAAATAAAGTGACAGTAGGGAGGCTATATATACAATAGAATAAAGTGACAGTAGGGAGGCTATATATACAGGGGGATACCGTTGCATAGTCAATGTGCGGGGGCACCGGCTAGTTGAGGTAGTTGAGGTAATATGTACATGTGGGTAGAGTTAAAGTGACTATGCATAAATACTTAACAGAGTAGCAGCAGCGTAAAAAGGATGGGGTGGGGGGGCAGTGCAAATAGTCCGGGTAGCCATGATTAGCTGTTCAGGAGTCTTATGGCTTGGGGGTAGAAGCTGTTGAGAAGTCTTTTGGACCTAGACTTGGCACTCCGGTACCGCTTGCCGTGCGGTAGCAGAGAGAACAGTCTATGACTAGGGTGACTGGAGTCTTTGACAATTTTGAGGGCCTTCCTCTGACACCGCCTGGTATAGAGGTCCTGGATGGCAGGGAGCTTTGCCCCAGTGATGTACTGGGCCGTACGCACTACCCTCTGTAGTGCCTTGCGGTCAGAGGCCAAGCAGTTGCCATACCAGGCGGTGATGCAACCAGTCAGGATGCTCTCGATGGTGCAGCTGTAGAATTTTTTGAGGATCTGAGGACCCATGCCAAATCTTTTTAGTCTCCTGAGGGGGAATAGGCTTTGTCGTGCCCTCTTCACGACTGTCTTGGTGTGTTTGGACCATGATAGTTCGTTGGTGATGTGGACACCAAGGAACTTGAAGCTCTCAACCTGTTCCACTACAGCCCCGTCGATGAGAATGGGGGCGTGCTCAGTCCTCTTTTTTTTCCTGTAGTCCACAATCATCTCCTTTGTCTTGGTCACGTTGAGGGAGAGGTTGTTGTCCTGGCACCACACGGCCAGATCTCTGACCTCCTCCCTATAGGCTGTCTCATCGTTGTCGGTGATCAGGCCTACCACTGTTGTGTCGTCGGCAAACTTAATGATGGTGTTGGAGTCGTGCCTGGCCATGCAGTCATGGGTGAACAGAGAGTACAGGAGGGGACTGAGCACGCACCCCTGAGGGGCCCCCGTGTTGAGGATCAGTGTGGCAGATGTGTTGTTACCTACCCTTACCACCTGGGGGCGGCCCGTCAGGAAGTCCAGGATCCAGTTGCAGAGGGAGGTGTTTATTCCCAGGATCCTTAGCATAGTCTGCGCTCCAGCAGGTATATCTCTCTGGTCATTCCCAAAGCCAACACCTCCTTTGGCCGCCATTCCTTCCAGTTCTCTGCTGCCAATGACTGGAACGAATTGCAAAAATCTCTGAAGCTGGAGACTCTTATCTCCCTCAATAACTTTAAGCATCAGTTGTCAGAGCACCTTACCGATCACTGCACCTGTACACAGCCCATCTGAAATTAGCCCACCCAACTACCTCATCCCTATATTGTTATTTATTTTGCTCTTTTGCACCCCAGTATCTCTATTTGCACATAATCTCTTGCACATCTAGCATTCCAGTGTTAATACTATTGTAATTATTCTGCACTATAGCCTATTTATTGCCTTACCTCCATAACTTGCTACATTTGCACACACTGTATATATATTTTCTGTTGTATTTCTGACTTTATGTTTTTTTTTACCCCATATGTAACTCTGTGTTGTTTTTATTGCACTACTTTGCTTTATCTTGGCCAGGTCGCAGTTGTACATGAGAACCTGTTCTCAACTGGCTTACCTGGTTAAATAAAGGTGAAATAAAAAAATTAATAAAAAAAGACAGCTGGAAGGTTTAGAGGCCATTACTATTTTAGTGAATGTGTTGAGCGATACAGGATTAAAACACGTGAGTGTCTCCATTGAGCCAAGGTCCTGGCAGTTCTGTGCAGACTCAGGACAACTGAGTTTTGGAGAAATATGCAGATTCAAAGAGGAGTCCGTAATTTGTTTTCTAATGATCATGATCTTTTCGTGTAAGAAGTTCATGAAATCGTCACTGCTGAAGTGAAGGCCATCTTTACTTGGGGAATGTTGCTTTTTAGCTAGCTATGCGACAGTATCAAAAAATGAATTTTAGATTGTTTTTATTCTCCTTAATCAGGTTGGAAAAGTAGGCTGATATTTGGCACTATATAGAACCATTTGTTGTTAGTGTGTAGAGTCCTTAGAAGCTGTAATTGCAGAAGAGTATGGAGGACATAATTAACCTAAGCTAAGGTGGCAGCATAACTATGAACCTACACAAGAGCAGCATAAGAAGTATATGAACCCTCACAAGGGCAACAAAGCTAACCTATGAGCCGTTATTAGAGCTCATACAGTCCCTATAAGCTGTAATGGGAGCAGTGCATCGCATGGAGGACACCCTGTAGCCTATCAGGCTGTATAAGGCTGTATCAAGGTCACGGATGCCCAGGGGAGGAGCAGTACTCTTAGCCTGGAGGTACAGCAGGGTGATGAGGTTCTATATTAAGAAGAATATAATATAATTGCTTTGCACTTCTGAGGCATTGGCATTTATGCTCAAATCAATGCACAAGTCTAACAACACACTTCACATAGTGCTCAGAGAGTACAGTGTATGACAACCAGGAAAGTACTGTATGGCCACTAAAGAGTTTATATTAGGGCTGTCAAACGATCAAAACATTTCATCGAGTAAATCGCAGGATTTACTCAAATTGAGCTGTAATTTAAGATTTTTTATTCAAAACACATTACAAGAACATTGATTTGTGCAAAATAAAGGTAAGCAAAATCTGGTAAATTGATAAAGCATGCTTTCTTTAACATCAATAACTTGTTTTTGACATTGCATTGTAGTTTTAAGCTGTATAGATGATGAATTTAGGATGTTTTCAGTGTATTTTCAACACTTCCAGATAATGGGATTAATCGTGATTAAAAAAACTTCAGTTAACTGATTGATTCTAACAGACCTAGTTTATATGTTTTTCCCAAGAAACCTTGCTGACCCTGGCCTGTGTGGAGTGTGTGTGTGTGTGTGTGTGTGTGTGTGTGTGTGTGTGTGTGTGTGTGTGTTTGTGTGTGTGTGTGTGTGTATATGTGTGTGTGTGTGTGTGTGTGTGTGTGTGTGTGTGTGTGTGTGTGTGTGTCGGGTATTGCCTTATCAAATGCAGCAGTTACTTCCATTAAAGAGAGACATGAAACCCTGTTACATATTCATGCTGCGTGTGAGTAGTCCAATATGCAGTCCAATACTGCAGCCTTTTTTGGGAGCGCGCTCCATTTCCCCACTCGCTCGCTCCCTGCACCTTTAAGAGCGCGTGCCTAGCTGAAGGTCACTAAACAGTAACACAAAGCACTCTCAGCTCTGCGGTCCAATATAGCGCATGCGCTCTGCCTGAGGACTGCTACACAGACTGCAATATGGCGAGAATGCCTGGCAGCGCAGACTGCTCTAGCGACAAGGCGGGGACAGAGCGGGAGGAGCACATGAGCTGCCCGGAGACTGAGAGGAGCGGAGACGAGGAGGATGATGATGAGATCCAGGAGGTGCAGATCACCGGGGAGGAGGAGGGGGAGTACGGGGAGGATGTCGAGCTGGAATGGGAGGCAGAGTGTGTGGACCCCGGCAGCTGCTCCGCTATGGAGACAGAAGCGGTCCTTATGCGCAGTAAGGACCAGTGCAGCGGGTTGGGACCGGGAGCGGACCCCGGACTAGACTCGGATCCGGAGGGAGACCTGCAGCGGTCTGACCGCTCCAGACTGAGCGAGAACACTCGCCTGGCTACTAGGTACGCAGTCCGGATCTTCCGGGAGTACCTGAGTGAGAAAGCCCAAAGTCCTGACTTTGAAACTCTGGACAAGGAGGCGCTGTGCGCGGTCCTGCGGTCCTTCTACGCGGAGGCGCGCTCGAAGAGCGGTCAGCTCTACAGCAAGTCCTCTCTTATCAGCATCCGGAGTTCTCTGAACCGCTACCTGAATGAGCCGCCCTACTGTCGCACTCTGGACCTCACCAAGGACCCAGAACTGCGCAGCGCCAACCTGACCCTGGCTGCGGTCATAAGAAAGCTGGAGGAGCAAGGAGCCGGTCCCGTGGTGCAGAAACAGGCTATTACGCGGGCGGACCTGAGAAAACTCTACACCTCCAGTGTGTTTAACACCGATACGCCGTTCGGGCTTCTCAACAAAGTGTGGTTCGAGACATGCATGTATTTCTGCACGAGGGGGAGAGAGAATCAGCGCGAGCTGGAGGAGGATTCATTCGGGCTGGCCATAGACGAGGATGGGAGAAAGTTCATCTATTTCAAAGCGCTGGGGCCATATCACAAGTCTCGCTCAGCGTCCTGGACTAAAAAAAGACCAGACACGGATGACGATACTCTGCCGCGCATGTATGAGACGGCCACGGAGTTTTGCCCATATGCCAGCTTTGTGAAGTATGTCTCGAAACGGAACCCGCTGTGCAAAGCGTTCTTCCAGCGCCCGCGAGACCACTGCTGCGTAAGCGACATGACATGGTACGAGAACAAAGCAATCGGTAAAAACCTGCTGGGCACGAGGATGCAGATGCTGTCGCGTGCTGCCAAGCTTTCAAAGACCTACACCAACCACTGCATCGGCGCCGTCTCCATAGCAACGCTCAACAGCATCGCCGGTATCGGGTCAAAGTCAGTGTTGCTTCACGTTGCCTCGGAAACTGTCAATGGTGGCGCGCAGTCTCATCTCCAGCTCGTGATCCCATATATCCGACAGGTCACGGACGCAGTGGAACTGAAGCCGCAGAGAACGACAAGGAAAGTTCGTTCTCTCTGCCCTGGCGACGTCTCTGAACCTCCCTCACCTAAGAAGCTCTGTGTGCGCGGAGAGGCCCCGGTGGTCATAGTGGACGGTAACGAGCCCGTGGACACCCGAACCCCTGAGCCCCACGGTCAGCTACCCGCCCCTTTACCGGCTGGCGTGGTAGCAGCGCAGGTAACACAGTTTCACACACTGCACCAACATAGGTTTTGAATTGATCAGCAGTCTTCTAAATTTAATGTAGGATAACTTTACTAGTCTCCAAAGCATCTACAGATTATGCATACATTTAATGATTTACATAATTTTCCATTTACTGTGAAAGTATTGACCTGTAGGATGTGTGTTTGTACTGTTTAGGAGTGAGTTCTGTCATTGGGTGTTCTAGGTGCTTTAGTAAAGAGGTCATGAACATTGTGTTAGCATACCAAATGGCACCCTATTCCCTATATAGTGCACCTTTTTTTTTTACCAGAGCCCTATGGACCCTGGTCAAAAGCAGAGGTTAGGGTGCCATTTGGGACTAGCCTGTGAGTGCAGAGGAGAGGACACATGAGTGAGTTCTCTCTGGGACTTCGTCTGTTGCTATGGGTGATGGTGCCCCAGGCCCACAGTTACCCACCATGCACCACAGTGGAGCCCGCAGGGGAAGAGCCAGAGCGTGCAAACACACACACATACTTCTCTTATACCCATTTGCCTAAAGCTCACATTTTCCTGAGACACAGGCACTATAATGAACAATAGTATGGCAGGCTGTCTCAAGCCTCTTTCCCCTAATGACAAAAAAATAGTGTTTGTGTGTGTGTGAGAGAGAGTGTGTGTGAATGTGCATGCGTGCATGAGTGAGTGTGTTTGTGTTTGTGTATCCAGTCTCTTATGAGTTTAATGTTTTTGAGCCGTTCCTCTCAGAAGAGCCTGCCTGTCGTGACCCTGGAGAGATGCACGTCTGCTGCAGCACTAACAGCTCTGCTCATCAGTTTTCTGCTTTATCAGCTATACATCTATCTCCCTCCATCTCTGTGCATCTATCTCACTATTTACTGTTTTCTCAGCTTTAAGAGGCAGACTCTGCCTTCGGCCAAGGCTGTCTTTCTCCCTCACTGCACTTACCACAGTGAATGCTGACCAGTAGCATTTCCAAGGTGTTTCAAACCTTCCTCTCTACAGTAATGTCCTCACCTGTCTCACACATCACCTGTATAGCAGAGCAGAGGAGGAGACACGACTCATATCTGTCTCTGAGTTTCTTTAACGACACTCAGCCTGCTCCACTGTCCTTAGTTAGCCCTGATACACAGACACCGAAAGGGGCAAAACCACTCTTCATCATGTAGTTCAGTGCATCATGAGTTAATTGTGCTCAAAGCGTTGACGGAGTATGAATGAAGTCCCAGTCTACAACTCTTTAATAGTGTCCTTTCTCTACTTAGTCACTCAGGGAATTACTGTGTGATGCCTTGTGTGTTCACTGATGTACAGTATCTGTGACAGATTTCCGTTGGACATTTGTGTTTCTTCTTCTTCTTGTCTCCCAGGATAGCCGTAGTAGCAGCATGGCCAGCCGGCCGCTGGTCTCCCAGTCCCCTGCCTCTCCACTGGGCTCAGGGGGTATAGGGGGCATCCCCACCCCCGCCCAGCTCACCAAAACCAACGCCCCTGTACACATAGACGTAGGAGGTCACATGTACACCAGCAGCCTGGCTACACTCACCAAATACCCAGAGTCACGGTAAGACTCGCACACACATATCGTGTTTGAGATTGACTACATTGAAGTGGAATGCAGTCACTGATCTACAAATGACCTTGCATCCCAAATAACTACTCATTATGTGATCAAGATTAGCAATTCTACGCCTCACCTTGCTCAAACTGATCCCCTAAAACATGAACATGCACACTCTGATGACGATCACATTGATGATGATGATGATGATATTCCCTTCCCCCCAGGATTGGTCGTCTGTTCAACGGGACAGAGCCCATAGTGTTGGACAGTCTGAAGCAGCACTACTTCATAGATCGAGACGGTCACATGTTCCGCTACATCCTCAACTTCCTGCGGACGGCCAAACTGCTCCTCCCTGACGACTTCAAAGTGAGTTTCTCTGACCCTGCACTCAGGCCTGGAAAACCTTGTATGTAATTGCACACTTATAACATAAAGTGTGAAACTTTATGGGATACATTTTCTTTTTAAGAATCAGATGATCATTGTGTTTGTGTGTGTCTGTGTACATTTGTTTGTGTATATATATATATATGTGTGTGTGTGTGTGTGTGTGTGTGTTACAGGAGTACTCTTTACTCTATGAGGAGGCCAGGTTCTTCCAGCTATCCCCACTACAAGCAGAATTAGAACGCTGGAGGAGTGAGCTTGAGGCCAGGTGTGTGTGGCGTGTGTGTGAGTGTGTGGTGGTACGTGTAGCTCCAGAGCTGGGGGAGAGGATCACTCTGAGTGGGGACAGGGCTCTGATCGAGGAGGTGTTTCCAGAGGTTGGGGACGTCATGTGTAACTCCCTGAACGCAGGCTGGAATCATGACTCTACTCACGTCATACGCTTCCCACTCAACGGATACTGTCACCTCAACTCTGTACAGGTAACATGACAGACACTACCCGTACAATACCACTGCTTAGAATAACTATGAAAATACCCTACAACAACCCAATATACTAAGTTAACAGATAACGTCCCCTCAACTCACAACAGATAAGGTCACATCATCTCACAACAGATAAGGTCACCTCAACTCAACTCATAACATCACATTAACCCACCTCAACTCTGTGTAGGTAACCTTAACTCTGTACAGGTAACATCCCACTAACTAGTACCCATGGCACAAGCATAGTATAACCTCAAATAACCTCAGAGGGCCAGACCAGCCAGAGAAAGAGAGACTAATCCTGTTTAGATATGAAACGTGGCCATCAGCTACTGGGTCTGCTGGAATGATATGAAGGAGCGACAGCCAAAGAGAGAGGGAGCGAGAGAGAGACAGACAGAGAGAGAAACAGAGACAGAGTGAAAGCCAATTTATGCTTGCTCCGGAATGTGATCCGGAGGCTCAGTACGGAGGGTTTGACGCAATTGCGGCGCCTCCGGAGGCTTGCGGAGGCCAAATCGGCTCCGTACCGCATCGCCATGCGTCTCCCAAATGTTGTAACAATGCGGAGGGCTCCATATACACTATATATACAAAAGTATTTGAACACCCCTTCAAATAAGTGGATTCGGCTATTTCAGCCACACCCGTTGCTGACAGATGTATAAAATCGAGCACACATCCATGCAATCTCCATAGACAAACATTGGCAGGAGAATGGCCTTACTGAAGAGCTCAGTGACTTTCAACGTGGCACCGCCATAGGATACCACCTTTCCAACAAGTAAGTTAGTCAAATTTCTTCCCTGCTAGAGCTACCCCGGTCAACTGTAAGTGCTGTTATTGTGAAGTGGAAATGTCTAGGAGCAACAACGGCTCAGCCGCGAAGTGGTAGGCCACATAAGCTCATAGAACGGGACCGCAGAGTGCTGAAGCGCGTAAAAATCGTCTGTCCTCACTACCGAGTTCCAAACTGCCTCTGGAAGCAACGACAGCACTAGAACTGTTAGTCGGGAGCTTCATGAAATGGGTTTCCATGGCCGAGCAGCCGCACACAAACCTAAGATCACCATACGCAATGCCAAGCGTCGGCTGGAGTGGTGTAAAGCTCGCTGCCATTGGACTCCGGAGCAGTGGAAATGCTTTCTCTGGAGTGATGAATCACGTTTCACCATCTGGCAGTCCGACGGGCGAATCTGAGTTTGGCGGATGCCAGGAGAACGCTACCTGCCCGAATGCATAGTGCCAACTGTAAAGTTTGGTGGAGGAGGAATAATGGTCTGGGGCTGTTTTTCGGGCTAGGCCCCTTAGTTCCAGTGAAGGGAAATCTTAACGCTACAGCATACAATTACATTCTAGACGATTCTGTGCCTCCAACTTTGTGGCAACAGTTTGGGGAAGGCCCTTTCCTGTTTCAGCATGACAATGCCCCTGTGCACAAAGCGAGGTCCATACAGAAATGGTTTGTCGAGATCGGTGTGGAAGAACTTGACTGGCCTGCACAGAGCCCTGACCCCAACCCCATCGAACACCTTTGGATGAATTGGAACACCGACTGCGAGCCAGGCCTAATCGCCCAACATCAGTGCCCGACCTCACTAATGCTCGTGGCAATAGTCCCCGCAGCAATATTCCAACATCTAGTGGAAAGCCTTCCCAGAAGAGTGGAGACTGCTATAGCAGCAAAGAGGGGACCAACTCCATGTTAATACCCATGATTTTGGAATGAGATGTTCGACAAGCAGGTGTCCACATACTTTTGGTCATGTAGTGTAGCTCCATATAGCGCCGCATTGACATGATTTATTGATGGTAGGTGGGGCGGGAGGTCCTGTATAAACACAAACTCACTTCCTTGAAAACTTCCTTTACAACAGCTCTGCTCTGCCACATCGCACTAAATGCTGTACGGCCACTGCAGACGTCGGATTGACCATGCAGAGCCTTTAAGGCAGAGAGAGAGAGAGTGGGATGGAGGCAGACAGCGGTTTCTAATTTAGCCCACTGCCTGCAACAAACAGAAAGAGAGGAGAGGGTGACAGAGCGAGAGAGCGAGGGAGGCAGGCAGACAGAGGAACAGATGCCATCTTGCAGCTATCGAGAGAATGTCTGCATACAAAATGTCACCCTATTCCCTATTTAGTGCACTACTTTTGACTACGGCCCATAGTGCACTACATAGGGAATATGGTGCCATTTGGGACGCACATAATATTACACTAGAAAAAGGGTTTGCGCCTCTGTCTGCATATGTCAGTCCGTGTTTGTATGTGTGAGTTGTCGTGAGAGAGGGGATCCTCCTATCTGTCACTGTGTTTTTAGGTCAGGGAAGGACAGAGTGAGATGGCTGGCTCTTCTTTAGTCAGACTGAGTCTTGCTAAAGAGAGAGAGATGAGTGAACTTGGGCCATATGGGCACTGTCTGTGCTATTGTTAGTAGCACATGTTGGTTCTCTTCCACAAACTGGAGTCCTGGATGACTGTGGTATGACTCGACCCTGAATCAGCCCCTCTCTGAAATCACTTCCCTGCCCCTCGGTCAACTGACCTTCCATACATACTGTATCAGACCACCAATTACCTGATTCATCCTCCATTCTATTTTTGGTAAACCTAAATAATTGTTGTGAATGAGATTAAAACTTGAGATCTGAGTCTGTGCGTCTACCTGAGTGGTTATTCTGACCACAAGTGTATGTACGGTGTCTGTATTGCATGTGTGTGTTGTGTCTATAATGTGTGTGTATGTGTTTGATTGACAGGTGTTGGAGAGGTTGCAGCAGAGAGGGTTCGTGATAGCAGGGGCGTGTGGCGGGGGAGTAGACTCCTCCCAGTTCAGCGAGTACGTCCTACGCAGGGAGGGAAGAAGCAACGGACAGCGTGGCCCTACCCTCATCCACATCAAACAGGAAGCACTGGACTAAGCCCCACCCAGGTCAGATCAGAGGTCAGGGGTCACAGTGGATAATTGGTCAGGAGAGGAGCAGAAAGCCACGCCTCCATCTCCAAGGGAAGGCCAATAGTCGTTTTAGAACTTTGGGGACATAGGCAATGCCATGACGAAACGGTGATTGAACCTACACCCAACATGAGAACAATAGAACTATGACCTCCCGGCAATGAACTACGGAAGTCACTAACCAGGCGGTATGCAGATAGTGACTGACCCCTCTCTCCCATGAGCAGGGACCTATAGCATACAGAGAGAAGCAACATTAGCACTGTCATCATACTACTCATGTTATCATGTAGGATTATTCTGTTTTGTAGTGTCATAATAATACTATGTGGATTGATTCAGATTCTTACAATAATGTAAATAATCACAGAATGGGATGCTGTCATGACTGAAACTCTGAAATGGAGAAACGGCACTGATGAACATGGAAGATATGCAGCTAAATGTTAAAAAGCACAAGTGTCTGGTAAATCTAACCCAGCCTAAACTAAACAGATAAAAGATATGGTTCTGTGAAGCTAAAGTTATTATTATGAGGAACTCATGGAAGTTTTTTTTTTATAGGACATTTTTATAAACCAAAAAGATGGTTTTCACATGTTAAGTCTTAAACTTATGACAATGGAATTCTGAAGAGGCTCTTCAACATGTTATATTCATCACATTAATAAAAGAGATTTGTCTTGTCAGAGATTAAATTGATGCATGTTTTATGCTGAGCATTAGAGCAGCAGAGGACTTGAGATCTGTATCAAAACTGTCTCCCTCTGTCACACTAAAGGAAATATGATTTCATAAATGTATAGATGAATGTACCACAAGGATGTAAAAAAAAAAATTCATACAAAAAAGTATGCATGTGTGTGTGTGTATTAGTTATTCAGGAAACTGTAAATGATGAGCAATATTCACAAAATGTTCATTTTAGTTAGGCTAGTCTTTCTCTAGCAATCACTGATCAGATGACAAACCTATCATCACTGCAGATTGACTGTAGAATTGAAACCGGAAAGTTAAGGGGGAGGTTTGCATTAATTTTAGGTGGCATGGTAAATATTCCACCTGCTTCAGAGTTTAGCGGAAAGTTGTTAATGAATATGCATAAGCAATTCCTGAATATTAACTAGGCTAAAGTGCCTTTGTCTTCCTGGATTTGACAAGCTGTCAGAGGAGGGAGGGGCTTGTCTTTGATCTGAGACAGGAACAGGAAGCGGTGGGACATGACGAGATCGTTAACGTTGCCGACGATGATCAATAATTCAGCAATCACCTAATCAATCAGTAATCACATGAATTAAAATACTCTAACCATTTGCTGTAACTGGCACAGTTATATGAAACAGTCTAAGTAGCTAACCTCCACATTAAATCGTCAGCATTCATCTCTACTATCAGGTTCTTCTTTAACTGGCACACTGTCAGTTTGCCTAGCTTACTGTTAAGTTAGAGGTCAGCAGTCTTTTCAGCTGAAAGAATTCTGATCCATTTCATTCTTTCCACACTCTCTGTATTTCCTAGCCAGATGTAGCGCTGTGCCTTAAAGCTCTTCTCTTCTGTATTCAGAGGTAGTGGAATAATGAATCTCAAACACATCCACAATTCTCTGACACACATTTCCACACACGCCCTGAAGGATCACTATTTTTCCTCCACGTGACCACCTAAAAAGGTATCAATTATCAAGCATAACATTTTCATGAAAATCTGTGAGTAATGAGGAAATAAACAAAGAATACCTGATATACTGTAAAAGTACACAATACAACGTTCAACTATGGTTTGCTATTAACTTAATTTAATTGTCACAGGTTTACAATTATCAGGTCAACCATGTAAACATAGTAAGGAATGGCTGTCACAGACATCAATCTGTGATATTATTAGCATGAAACTGAACTGAAAAACAAGGGAAAAAGTCAGTGACCTCACCACAGACCACTCTCTGAATCACACTAAGGGCAGAGGGTCACTGCTTTAGGCTGTAACACACAGAGCTGACTTCTACTGTTCTGACCTCTTCTCTCACACAGAGTTGTCCCTCTCAAAAAGTGCAATTTTTTTTGTTTTAATGGTCCTGCCAACCTGACTACAATCTTTCTCTCTCAGCATGTATCAGCAGAACTCCGTGACATTGCTGACAGTGCTACAAATAGTTAGAAAACAAAATAATAATACATAACAAAAATATCAACAAAATAATAAAAACATATACAACATCTGAAAGAGTGTTAAGGCACACATAATCTGGCACAAATGGTGGGAGAGAGACTGATAGTATTAAGCTGTTTAACCACACTGTGTGTGTGTGTGTGTGTGTGTGTTAGTGTAGTGTATACACACAAACTATCTGAGCAGGCCCTTGTAGAGAGTGAGAGAGTGTCGTAGAGGAGGGTCCTGTTCTAGACAGAACAGTAAGTCCCTCAGAGAGACCCCAGTCACTCTCTGAACCCCAGCCCTCTGTAGTACTGACATAATGCCACCTGGCCCCACCTGAGAGAGAAAGAGAGGGGGTGGAGGGGGGAAGAACACCCCAACAAAGAGAGAGAGAAAGAGGGAGAGAGATAGAGAGAGAAAGAGATGAATGGCCAACAGAGAGAGGAGGAAGACACAAGGAGAGAGAGAGAGAGATAAACCCACCAACAGATAAAGCTTTCATCCTAAACCTTTCGACATCACCATTATGCCAGACAGCTTCCCTTCTCCCCCCTCCGTTTCTCCTTCACATTCTGGCACACAGAGGCGATGCCTGAGAGAGCAGAAAGGAAGGCCCTGTAGCGCTACAGAGGAAAGAGAGAGGAGGCAGGAGAGGAAAGCTCCTCAGGCTGCAGGGTCCTCTAGGTAACGCAGTTCAAAGGCAGCAGTTAATGTGTTCAGTTTACATAGCTTCATCTCTAAACCCATCGCCTGCAGGGCCAGGGAATTAAATAAACTCAGTTCAATTAGACGCTCTTTAACCTAAACTAACAGTCCAGCGCATGTCTGCTCCTTCGCTTCACAGGTCTAGTCTCCCCTGAATGTTGTTTCTTATCGGCGACACTAACACAGGTGTTCCTCATACAAGCATCCCCTGACCACCTGGTACATCCCCTGCCCACCTGATGTCAAAGATTGAAAATCAGCCACAGATACCATAAGATCACTGATAACCAAGAACCTCCATCCACTCTCTCAGTATAATAACACACACACACTGTACATACCTGGATTCCATTGGAGTCCAGTGGTCTCTTCCTGCGAGGTCCGATGGCAGCCAGGGCAGTGAGGTTGGCTTCTCTGTGCTGCAGCTGAGCCTGCTCCAACTGCTGGAGCTATAGAGAGAGAGGGGGGGGGGGTTGTAAAACCCTCTAAAGCAGGGTTTCCCAAACTCGGTTCTGAGCCCTCCCCTTGGGTGCACATTTTTGGGTTTTGCCATAGCACTCATCACCAGCTTTGATTATTTGAATCAGCTGTGTAGTGCTAGGGCAAAAAACAAAAATGTGCACCCCTTGGAGGCCCAGGACAGAGTTTGGAAAACACTGCTCTAAAGGATGGGAAGTTGAGTGCTCATTAAGGAATAACTAAAACAGTGTGACGCTAGGGTAATTTCTATAAAACGATATACAGTGAGCCAATAAAGAATCACACTAGCTAAATCTCAACCAATTAATATATAGTGTTGTAAAGGTCACATAGCGACAACCTCACACACACCGTAGGTGTTTTAATTTGATTCAGCTTTGTGCCTGCCGCAGGCCTCAACTCCAGCCCCAGAAACAGACTCCATTAAAATTAGCTCCAATTACAGCTGTACCTTCTCTGGGGCTTGGATGTGTGTGTGTGTGTGTGTGTTTGTGTAGGGTGAGTCTGAACACACACACCCACACAGGCTGGGTATGTAAATGAAACTATTTTGTTGATTTCTGCTGTTGCCGTGGAGAGACCGCTGGGAACATTGTTGCTGTGAGCGATCCACCAACAGAGAAAACAACCTCTCAAAGTCTCTCCTCTCCTCCCTCTTTATTACCAGTACCCTACCGCTGGCTCTGTCTCATCTAGCTACAGCCCCATCCCCTCCAACCCCCCAGCCAAACATTACACACACACACATCTGATTTACTAAATGAACAATTAGTCTAAGAAATAGCAGGCATTATAGAATTCCCAAACATTACTTCTAAAAAGTATATATTAGGTTAGATGGGGTAAAACTTAAAGAAATGCTCCACCACTGTGCTATAAAATGAAGCTCACTTAGCAGCTACCAGTAAAAGCACAGAGCCTTAATGAGCTGATGAGGTGTGTGTGTGTTCTACTCGTCCATCCCTGGGGACAGCCCCTCCCTCTAACTGTTTGGAAATGGGAGTCTGATTGAAGAGTTAAAGCTGACGTGACGCAAATTCACGTAAAGCAAGCGCACACACAATTACATAACACACAAACCTCTTTGGCCCGTTGTTTCAGTAGTTGCTGGTCTGGGTCCTCAGTGTTACAGCGACTCTGTGAAGAAGAATAAAATAAACACAAACAGATGTTCACAGTCTGGAGGCAGCAGGGGTCTACAATAGTTCATCTAGACCAGACAGCTTAAGTAAGTAAGCATGAGTAACCATGTCCCTCAGCATACTATAATCATCCAGTCAACATTTGTTTTTAATTCCAATAACTTAATACACAGTAGCTAATATTAATAATATAGCACCCATCACCGCAAAATGCAAAATACTCCAAATCCCTATAAACCCTGTCTTAGTAGCTTCTTGACCCCTTGTCAAAACTGTAACCCCATAACTCTGCAACATGTACCCTGGCGATGCGGAGCAGTGTCTCCCTCTCCTCATCGTCTCTCCTCTGCTTCTCCAGACGCTCCAGCTCTTCCAGGAAGTGGAGCTGGGAACGCACGTTACTGGTCTGAACGTGACTGTAGTCCTCCTACACACAGAGACCATGAGGATTCTAGAACAGCTGTAGTACTAGTTGTGAAACGGTGTTATGGTTGTAGTATGTGTATTATGAGGGCATCATGTTGGTAATAATGTTGTAGTGCAGGGTTTCTGGAGAGCTACTGGGTGTGCAGGATTTCACTCTGGCCCTTCAGTAACACACCTGATTCACCTAATCATGGTCCAGCAGAGAGGAAGAGCTTGATAAGTTGAATATTCCAAATCTGGTGTGTTACTGCTGGGCTGGAACAAAAGCCTGTACTCCCCGTAGCTCTCCAGAATTGTAGATGGAGACCCTTGTTGTATTGCTAGTGTATGTCATGATGCCAGGGTAGGGCTGTTGTAGTGTGTAGAATATAATGATGTCAGGGTAGGGCTGTTGTAGTGTGTAGAATATAATGATGTCAGGGTAGGGCTGTTGTAGTGTGTATAATATAATGATGTCAGGGTAGGGCTGTTGTAGTGTGTAGAATATAATGATGTCAGGGTAGGGCTGTTGTAGTGTGTAGAATATAATGATGTCAGGGTAGGGCTGTTGTAGTGTGTAGAATATAATGATGTCAGGGTAGGGCTGTTGTAGTGTGTATAATATAATGATGTCAGGGTAGGGCTGTTGTAGTGTGTAGAATATAATGATGTCAGGGTAGGGCTGTTGTAGTGTGTAGAATATAATGATGTCAGGGTAGGGCTGTTGTAGTGTGTATAATATAATGATGTCAGGGTAGGGCTGTTGTAGTGTGTAGAATATAATGATGTCAGGGTAGGGCTGTTGTAGTGTGTAGAATATAATGATGTCAGGGTAGGGCTGTTGTAGTGTGTAGAATATAATGATGTCAGGGTAGGGCTGTTTGTAGTGTGTATAATATAATGATGTCAGGGTAGGGCTGTTGTAGTGTGTAGAATATAATGATGTCAGGGTAGGGCTGTTGTAGTGTGTATAATATAATGATGTCAGGGTAGGGCTGTTGTAGTGTGTAGAATATAATGATGTCAGGGTAGGGCTGTTGTAGTGTGTACAATATAATGATGTCAGGGTAGGGCTGTTGTAGTGTGTAGAATATAATGATGTCAGGGTAGGGCTGTTGTAGTGTGTATAATATAATGATGTCAGGGTAGGGCTGTTGTAGTGTGTATAATATAATGATGTCAGGGTAGGGCTGTTGTAGTGTGTAGAATATAATGATGTCAGGGTAGGGCTGTTGTAGTGTGTATAATATAATGTCAGGGTAGGGCTGTTGTAGTGTGTAGAATATAATGATGTCAGGGTAGGGCTGTTGTAGTGTGAATAATATAATGATGTCAGGGTAGGGCTGTTGTAGTGTGAATAATATAATGATGTCAGGGTAGGGCTGTTGTAGTGTGTAGAATATAATGATGTCAGGGTAGGGCTGTTGTAGTGTGTAGAATATAATGTCAGGGTAGGGCTGTTGTAGTGTGTAGAATATAATGATGTCAGGGTAGGGCTGTTGTAGTGTGTAGAATATAATGATGTCAGGGTAGGGCTGTTGTAGTGTGTAGAATATAATGATGTCAGGGTAGGGCTGTTGTAGTGTGTAGAATATAATGATGTCAGGGTAGGGCTGTTGTAGTGTGTAGAATATAATGATGTCAGGGTAGGGCTGTTGTAGTGTGTATAATATAATGATGTCAGGGTAGGGCTGTTGTAGTGTGTAGAATATAATGATGTCAGGGTAGGGCTGTTGTAGTGTGTAGAATATAATGATGTCAGGGTAGGGCTGTTGTAGTGTGTATAATATAATGATGTCAGGGTAGGGCTGTTGTAGTGTGTATAATATAATGATGTCAGGGTAGGGCTGTTGTAGTGTGTATAATATAATGATGTCAGGGTAGGGCTGTTGTAGTGTGTAGAATATAATGTCAGGGTAGGGCTGTTGTAGTGTGTAGAATATAATGATGTCAGGGTAGGGCTGTTGTAGTGTGTAGAATATAATGATGTCAGGGTAGGGCTGTTGTAGTGTGTAGAATATAATGATGTCAGGGTAGGGCTGTTGTAGTGTGTAGAATATAATGATGTCAGGGTAGGGCTGTTGTAGTGTGTATAATATAATGATGTCAGGGTAGGGCTGTTGTAGTGTGTATAATATAATGATGTCAGGGTAGGGCTGTTGTAGTGTGTATAATATAATGATGTCAGGGTAGGGCTGTTGTAGTGTGTAGAATATAATGATGTCAGGGTAGGGCTGTTGTAGTGTGTAGAATATAATGATGTCAGGGTAGGGCTGTTGTAGTGTGTAGAATATAATGATGTCAGGGTAGGGCTGTTGTAGTGTGTATAATATAATGATGTCAGGGTAGGGCTGTTGTAGTGTGTAGAATATAATGATGTCAGGGTAGGGCTGTTGTAGTGTGTATAATATAATGATGCCAGGGTAGGACACCTTGAGGGCCATCTTGCGATGCTGTGCCACCACAGTGACTTTCTCCAGCAGGTCTCTGAGACGCTCCTGTGTGGCGTGAGACACCAGACTGATCACGTCTGACCCCACCTCAGACACTCCAAACTTCTCACCTGAGAGAGATGAACACACCATCATATAAAACCTTTAATTCTAAACATTTTGACATCACCACTATGCCACACTAATTCCATTCTGCTAATTTCTCCTACAATTTTGAAACACTGAGGCGAGAGGGAGATTCATTGTTTTCTCTATCTGAGGTTAAGAATGGTCCATTTCTAATCAACATTGCACCCTGCTGGTGACCAGAGGCATGACACCTATCTAAAGCTCAGAAGGAGTGCCGAAGTTGTACAGCTTTACTAGGTACCGGTGTGGAGGATGTGTGAGCAGTGGAGAAGGATTGTGGGTACTGGTGTGGAGGATGTGTGTGAGCAGTAAAGGTGGATTGTGGATACCATTGTGGAGGATGTGTGTGCGCAGTAGAGGAGGATTGTGGGTACCAGTGTGGAGGATGTGTGTGAGCAGCGGGGCTGGGGACAGGAAGGGTTCGTCCTGACAGGATCGTTCCACAGAGCCCACCAGCCCAGAGTTGGTTGCTAGGATACGGGCATTCTCCTCGCTTACGTTGACCCCAGCCATGGAGGCCACATCGTTGATGTCATCCTCCTCCCTGAGGTAAGCAAATAAACAGAGTTAACAGACAAAAAAATCTACCTCAGACACACAAGATAACTGGGTTCTGGCTTAGAGTGAATTAGCGTTCAGTGAATAGCTACGCAATATTTGGACCCTCCATACATACTAGTGCAGTACACAACAGGCTCTGGTCACAAATGTATGTGTTACCTGAAGGAACCAACACTGTCCTTGAAGGGATGTCTCTGGGCTGGAGGAGGTGGGACCAGGAAAGGAGTCCGCCTGACAATAGCTCCTAGGGGGACAACAAGGGAGATGACAACATAAAGAACTGAGGAGAACAAGGCCTTAGCCAGTTGATGTGTAAGGTGTGGTTGACCTGTGTTGTGGTGCTGTGTGAGTGTGAGTGTGGTTCTACCTGTGTTGTAGTGCTGTCCTGACTGTAGGACCATGGGTTTGGCCAGGCTCCTGTTCTGAACAGACAGGTATGTACGGGCCGGGGCGGAGGTTGTCACAGCAGGCTTATACACCACACCTCTAGGCTGCTGGATCACCTGTGGTGGGGCAAACACACCTCAAAATGAGCCTCTGGAACACAATTAGATAAACCATTCACAAACCAGACCATCTGGACATGGATCTGATCTACTCAGGGAGTGAAGAATAATGCTGAGTGTGATGCTCCTAAAACTCCAAACGAACAGAACTACATCCACTCATACAGAGCTTTTCTTCTCACAGTTTGGGCCATTCGTGTATGTAAATGTATTCTGGGCATTCACACAAAACTGGGGGCAATCACACTGTTAATTAAGGAAATACCATTACAGAAAATCTGAATAATGTTGTGATTGCTCTCCACATTATGAGTTTTCCCTCTGAAGGTGAGAGAGCTGTGTGTCTCTGTCTGCAGAGGAGAACTGATGAGAATCCTCATTTTGGGAACAGTAGCTGTAACCTAGTTAGTCCTCAGCCTAGGCTCTAACATAATTAGGCCTAACCTCAGGGCTCTGTGAGTTAGGAGAGCGAGAATGAAGACAAAGTACAGAGAAGAACTTCAAGAAGTGAGCTGCCTGCTACACAACAGGGACTCTACATCTCAATTACACTAACTGGATTACTATGTAAACCTCAGGTACTTTATACAGGGTTGGAGTCTCCAAGCCCAGAGCTTTTGAATGGATATAGACCTGAGAATATAGGAGCCCTGACCTGGGATCATGCTTGACGTTTGTGTGATAGGTATATGGGTGATCGATAGGATATGTATGATTGGCATGTGTTGAATAAAAGGAATACCTTACATCCTGATGGAAACCTCTGACTGACGCTTGGGTGAAAAGGGGTAACCATTGAGAGGGTGTGGCTTACTAGCTGGGTGGATTTGATTGGCTGGCCACTAGCAGCGCTGAGGTGGGCAGGCCTCGCGTTGGTGGAGAGGAGGGTAGGGGTGCGGCCTGGAGTGGGGGCCGGGGCCTTGGAGGCGGCTGGAGCCTGTGGCTTGGGTTGGTCAACCTCCTGGATGAAGAGCTGTGGGTTGGGGGTGAGCTGCCGCACAGCTGGGAGACTTTTCTGGAGGCATGGAGTAAGGAGAGAGAGGAATAGAGAGGAGAGAGAGAGGAGAACAGAGAGGGAGAAGAGGAGAGGAGTAGAGAGAGAGAGAATGAGAGAGGAGGAGAGGAGTAGAGAGGCAGAAGAATAAGGAAGAGAATGTCCAGTCTGTGACAAGCTGGGTTGAACGTGTCTGTGGTCTGAATGTGTTGGTGTTTCTCTCTGATCACATCACCTTGAGAAAGGGCACCAGGTAGGGCTGGGGAGAAGACTTGAGCTCACGGTAGAGTTGGTCAGTGAACTCCTCAGGTTCAAGTCTCCCATCCTGGAGGACAGAAGACAGAGTGCCAGGAAAAAAAGTGTGTATGAGAAAGCATTAGAACTTGTGATTATTATTCTAGTGTGAGCATGTGAGTGCGTGCTTTTCCCTGGTTACGAACCCAGTTAAACCCCCATTAGATATTTTTGTATATCTACTTCAGGATTAACAAACACCATATATTACATTTTAAGTACACAGTGCTGAGCTGTTATCCAATAAGTGTTTAAAATGACACTTCTATTTTTCTTTACTCTATAATCCTGAGCCACAAGTTTGACTCCAAACAAAAAGGTTTTATATGAAATTAAAATTCTATAACTTTTCTTCACAGGAAGGCCACGGCACCCTTTACTTTCTCCTTATTGGAAGGCATAGTTTATGTATTTTAGTCTTACTCTAAAATGTTACTGTATATCCTCCTGAGACCCAGCAAGTCATTTTTATAATGGACATTTGTTTTTGGTCCGTATCTCTAAGGCCATACATGCCACTGTGTTATGTCCTATTGTACCTTTGAGAGGACATTTTGGGCTTTTCAATGATATCACGTGTGGGGTTGTCACCTTAATCATTTTTTCTTTCTGATTCTTCAAAATGGCTACCATCACAATTAGCTACTTTTATGGTAAATGTGTGTAGTTGTGTAATTATCATTTCTGTGAGTTTGATATTCAAATTGTTTCTAATAGGTAAATATCTCAGGAATAGTTTGGTGGGTTTTCAGAGCAGTGTAATTTCCCCCCCCACATTAAATAAGAGCTAAATAAGAGCTTGTTAATAAATGTCCTCTGTTGTAGACATCATGTGCACAAAGACAGGATGTGCACAAAGATATGGTTAATTGACCACAAAATCAACATTTTGCAACGGCCATATCAGTCTCCAGACTTAAACCCCATCGAAAACATGTGGTTTGAATTGAAGAGGGCAGTCCATAAGTGCGACTGAAGGATCTGGAAAGATTACGTATGGACGAATTGTCTAAGATCCCTCCCAATGTGTTCTTCAATCTCATAAAACGTTATAGAAAAAGGCTAATTATTTATTTTTTTAGATTTATTTTTAAACCTCTTAAACAAAATATTTTTCTCTGAGCAACTGTATTAGTATAAAACAATATAATTTTCAAAAAACTGTGAGCATACATTATAGCTCGTTATCTGTATTATTTATTTTACACAGTGTGTGTGTACCAGCAGGCTCTTGACAAGCTCTCGGACGTTCTTGGCCATGTCAGCAGAGTGGGTCCCACTAGAGGCCAGCTTGATCAGCGTCACCAGGAAGTTCTTACACTTCTTCACATTCTCCAGGACCTCCTGAACAGAGAGCATAATGGGACATGTCAGAGGTCATACTGAGCAACAGAAAGACATACTAACCTTGGGTGTATCCAAAGATGTGAAATGTGCCAATAGAAATGTAATGAATAGAGCTGACAAAATTCCCCACCTACCTGGAAGACAATCATTTATATTCTGCACACTATACATTACTATTTGAACATTCTGTAGCATTACACCTTAATGAACATGACCCAGAGATAACATGCTAAACAATAGCTTTAGCCAATCCCAGTCGGCGGTCTGACTCACAGGTGTGATGCTGGGGGGTGTGGCCCTGGGGGTGTTGGTGGGTTTGGTTGGGATGATGAGAGGACCAGGGCCAGGAGAACGGGTGACTGTGACAGGGGCCACTGGGCGGATCATAGGCCTGGGGGTCTGGCTCTGGCCTGCAGGAGGGGTCAGAACAGCCCCTACCACCTGGAGTGAAGCGGAGCAAAACACGCACGCACACACAGAAAATGGTAACTGAAAAGTCATAGTGGTAATGTCCAATGTTACCCCACTATATTAACCACTCTTTATCCACTAATCAAACCACTACTGGGACCATACCTGTAGTTTGATCATACACTAAACCAGAACTTGACCATTGCTTGAGACCAGAGATTAGCGTGCGTACCTTAACCAAGGGGGTTCTCTGTGCTGTGGTCACATGGGGGTTAGGAGGAGGAGGCACTCTGATCACCCCTGGATTCTCAGCTTTTCTCACGACAGTCGCTGCAGACACCTTTAAATGACATAACAGCTGGGTCTGTATTCAAAGTAATGCGGAAATCTAGTGCACACACACATTGACAGCCCTAACACACACATTAATCTTCCATTCACACTACCAGTCAAAAGTTTGGACACACCTACTCATTCAAGGGTTTTTCTTTATTTTTACATTGTAGAATAATAGTGAAGACATCAAAACTATGAAATAACACATATGGAATCATGTAGTAACCAAAAAAGTGTTAAACAAATCAAAATATATATTATATTTGAGATTCTTCAAATAGCCACCCTTTGCCTAGATGACAGCTTTGCACACTCTTGGCATTCTCTCAACCAGCTTCATGAGGTAGTCACCTGGAATGCATTTCAATTAACACATGTGCCTTCTTAAAAGTTAATTTGTGGAATTTCTTTCCATCTTAATGCGTTTGAGCCAATCAGTTGTGTTGTGACAAGGTAGGGGGGGGTATACAGAAGATAGCCCTATTTGGTAAAAGACCAAGTCCATATTATGGCAAGAACAGCTCAAATAAACAAATAGAAACGACAGTCCATCATTACTTTAAGACATGAAGGTCAGTCAATACGGAACATTTCAAGAACTTTGAAAGTTTCTTCAAGTGCCGTCGCAAAAACCATCAAGCGCTATGATGAAACTGGCTCTCATGAAGACCGCCACAGGAAAGGAAGACCCAGAGTTGTTTCTGCTGCAGAGGATAAGTTCACTAGAGTTACCAGCCTCAGAAATTGCAGCCCAAATAAATGCTTCACAGAGTTCAAGTCACAGACATCTCAACATCAACTGTTCAGAAGGGACTGTGTGAATCAGGCCTTCATGGTCGAATTGCTGCAAAGAAACCACTACTAAAGGACACCAATCAGAAGAAGAGACCTGTTTGGGCCAAGAAACAAGAGCAATGGACATTAGACTGGTGGAAATTTGTCCTTTGGTCTGGAGTCCAAACTTTGAGATTTTTGGTTCCAACCGCCGTGTCTTTGTGAGACGCGGTGTGGGTGAACGGACGATCTCTGCATGTGTAGTTCCCACCGTAAAGCATGGAGGAGGAGGTGTTATGGTGTGGGGGTGTTTTGCTGGTGACACAGTCTGTGATTTAGTTAGAATTCAAGGCACACTTAACCAGCATGGCTACCACAGCATTCTGCAGCGATACGCCATCCCATCTGGTTTGGGCTTAGTGGGACTATCATTTGTTTTTCAACAGAACAATGACCCAACACACCTCCAGGCTGTGTAAGGGCTATTTTAACAAGAAGGAGAGTGATGTAGTGCTGCATCAGATGACCTGGCCTCCACAAACCCCCGACCTCAACTCAATTGAGATGGTTTGGGATGAGTCGGATGGCAGAGTGAAGGAAATGCAGCCAACAAGTGCTCAGCATATGTGGGAACTCCTTCAAAACTGTTGGAAAAGCACTCCAGGTGAAGCTGGTTGAGAGAATGCCAAGAGTGTGCAAAGCTGTCATCAAGGCAAAGGGTGGCTATTTGAAGAATCTCAAATATTTAATTTGTTTTAACACTTTTTTTGTTACTATATGATTCCATGTGTTATTTCATAGTTTTGATGTCTTCACTATTATTCTACTATGTAGAAAATAGAAAAAATAAAGAAAAACCCTTGAATGAGTAGGTGTGTCCAAACTTTTGACTGGTACTGTACATAGTATAAGATCAGACACCTGTCACAGTTTATCAAACACAAACACACACCTGCGTGGCGGGTGGCCTGGAGCTAGGAGAGGTCCCAGTGCCAGGAGTTCTGGCTGCGAGGCCCTGGGCTGCGGCCAAAGCTTGTTGGGACACCAGCATCAGTTGACCACTGTCACTACGGATGAGCACCATGCCTGTTGACAGAACATCACATTAAAAGGGGCACTTCACTGCACCATACCAGTGTCTATGTTAAAAAGTGCCCCTTAATAGGCACACAGGCCCTTTCCCAATTAATCTTCCATTGATTCCTTGTGTCCTCTCTCCTCTGCTCCTTCTCAAAATGCATTGGAGGAGAAGGTCGGAGGGGAGGGACCTTGGAACTTCAATGCGGTTTGAGAAGGAGGCGAGAGGAATCGAGGAAGGATGAATTGAGAAAGAGCCACTACCTTTTTCCCCCAATATCACTACTCCCTCCACTTTGCTTTTTTATCAGTCCCAGGTGATGCCTAGGCAGGCACTCACCTGGCGGGATTTGAAAGTTGGCTGGAAGCTGGACAGACGTGGTCTGTGGGGGTCTGACGGATGCAGCTGGTTGCTGAAAAGTTGTTGGTCTTGGTATGGCTATCACTGCAGCCTTCCCCGGTGCCTGGGTCGCGGTGGCAACTCGAGTCACGGCTGGTCCCAAAGGAGAGCTCATGCGCGCCGGTGGTTGTGCGCTCATGGTCACCGTTGGAGAGCTCACTCTCGGTCCCGCCACCACCGGAGAAATGGGTCTCGGTCCCGTGGTTGTCATGACCACCTTTGGAGCCGGGTTGCTCACGACTGAGTTTATGGATGAGGTAACTGGTTGAGCGCTTGCCTGGACAGGTGCGACCGTCACGGTGGAGGTAGTAGGTGCAACATGCATCACGGACACGGGAAGCTGGGTGGCACTGGATCCATTATTTGCGTTCTGTGGCTGGGTTTGGCCAGGTTCGGGGTCTTTCGTTGTACCTTTCGAAATGGTGGCGGGGATTGCAGGGCTACTGACAGAAGGTATCGGGGCTTTGACACTCGCCCCCACCTGCACAATTGTGTCCGAGATATTCGCGGTTCCACTTCCACTGTTTGCCGGGGATGCCTGATTTTGAGTTTCATTTGTGGAGTTTTCGGTGGTTGGCATGATTTTTTAATCTAAATTGAAAGATATAATACATTAGTTTGCTATGATATCTCTCAGACGACCTCACCATATCAATCCTTTGGTTTTCGCGTGTGGTCGCTAGCTAGCTAGCGGGCTATTGACTAACACCACCAATAAACAGCAAGTTGACCAGGTCTAGTGAATTGTCGCAAATGCCAGTCTAGGAATCACAGAAAAACAGGACAAATAGTAGCAGGTTTTACCTTAGTGGTTTTCATTCATTCTTCTGACCCGCGCACCCAGCAAGTGGCCACGAGTTTGTAGCCATGTGGAGCGCGCATGTTGATTCTGCAGGACGCTCTGAACGCGCGAGGGATTCCCGTTATACTGAGCTTTCATTGGCTGGTTTACCCGATGACGTGAAAATATGACACCTGCACGCGATACCGGTGTTTCCCGGAGAATAAATGCTGCCTGGAAGCCAAACATCACCAAAGTTGAGCACTTTAACCATATTCAATTTCACTACATCAGTTCTGGAAATACTGTGGAAACCTATTATTTGCACACAAAAAAGGTAAGCAATAGTACATTTACAGTTTAGTCATTTAGCAGATGCTCTTATCCAGAGCAATTAGGGTTAAGTGCCTTGCTCAAGGGCACATCCACAGATTTTTCACCTAGTCGCTCAGGGATTCAAACCAGCAACCTTTCGGTTACTAGCTCAGTACACAACTAAATTGCCCAATGCAATACCATTTGCAATCATGCATAATGAAAATGTGCATCTCTTGGTTCTATTCTATTTCCCTTGTAAGCAAATAAGAATGCACTGCTCACATCTCATTGTCCCATCAGGTCAACAATGCATAAGAGGAACCGTTCTTTTGCTCTTATCAACATAGAAATGAGACCCTTTTGAGCAGTGAAAAATACAAAGCACAATCTTTTATTATTCAAGGTTCTATTTATAAACAGCATTATTTGATGTGCTAACATAACAGTGAACAGAGAAGTAGTAGCCACACTACAGAACAAAATATAAAATGGAGACAAGAGTCAGTGTGTGTGTAGGATACAGGATGTGTGTAGGATACAGGAGATGTTTAACGTGTTCATTCTTATTGAAGCCTATCTTATCCTCACACAAACTGAAAACAGGTCATGTGACAGCCTAGTTTGATTTATGTGGATTTCTTCTGCTTCTTTTTCTCTGCCTCTTCCTCTTTCTCCTTTTCGATTTCAGCCACGAGGGTTTCGATTTCTTTAGACTCCAAAAGCTGATAGAGAAATATGTACAAAACAGGGAATTAGTAATGATTTCAAAAGACATGCGTCCATAGAATGAATAAGTTGTCAGTTAACTACTTTTAAGCTTTTAGTGTGTGTACCTTCAGTGGCTGATTCCTCCTGATCACTGCCAGCTCAATGTTCTTTCCTCCTGACTGAACAACCTGTGAGCATAGGGTCAGGAGGTTAGCATGCTGTTCATTACCATCAACCACCATTAGTGACTTAGTTGCCCCATTCACATTATAGGGTCGACATGAACCATATTGTGCCAGCTCAGATATTTTTTGTTTCACATTGTCGTTTCCAGCAACTATGGTGGATGCGTAATCAGGCCAGCCTAGTACAGCTTGTCTTGTTGGCCTTAGTGTGAATCAAGCAACTGTTAGTGCTTGTGTTAGCCTACCTCCAGCAGGGCTTTGATGGCCAGCTTTATAGCCTCGTTGTCAGTGGCGATGGCCTCGTCTGTGTAGTTCTTCTCCAGAAACTCCCGGACAGTCTTTGCACTGCGACCGATGGCATTGGCCTGCAGGGGAGAAGGTCGAGAGAGGTTACACACAGAAAATGGAACACTGAGCAACCCTGCAAAATAGTTAGGCTGAATAAACCACACACCCAAAGTGAAGAATTAACCAAACAGGTTGGATAAAGCCAGCATTAGTGTGTGGGCCTGTGTGTTATGTTTTCTACTCATAAAGCAGGATAGCAGAGTGTGATCTACTGGACATAAGAAAGAACGGTGCTACACACCTTCCAGGCATGATATGTTCCAGATGGGTCTGTTTGGTAGAGCCGTGGGGTTCCATCGTAGTCGAAGCCCACGATCAGAGCAGAGATACCAAAGGGTCTGCGTCCGTTACTCTGTGTGTAACGCTGAAGGGGGGGATAAAGAGAGAGACACATTCTTACTCAACGGGGGTTTGACTGTGTGAGAGACACTACCTGCATGGGTCATGTTCATTAGGCACCAAATGGAAGAAACCTGAATGAATCAAGGATGGACTACCACTACCAAGAAACACTCATTTCTATTTTCTGTTGCAAAACGTTTTACTGCAGTGTTCCCTAATGAACACGTCCTTGATTGAGTGTGGCAATGAAGAATGTTCATACCAGTGTGTTTTGCATGCAGCCTACCTGTTTGAGTGTGGCGATGTGGCGTGTGATGTACTCCACAGTAACAGGGTCCTCTACAGTAAGCCGGTGGCTCTGACACTCCACCCTGGCTCTGTTGATAACGATACGAGCGTCGGCCGTCAGACCTGGAAGGACAGAAGAGAGGGACAATGTCTGAGTCACAACATTCTACATTTCAGACCTTTTACTCAAAACTGACACAAAATGCCTGATCTTCCACAAACTAAAAAGCAGGCCTTGCATCTGAAATTAAATCAAAGATTATTGAAAATCAGTGAGATATAACTACAGCAAGGCTCAATAATAACTAGTTTGCTAGGCTAATCAGATTGATAAGACAGGTGGTTCGGACTGGGTGTATGACTAAATGTTTGTTATGGATGGTTTTACCTGCAAATGCCATACAAACATGATCGTCCAGTGCACATATCTTGCGTACAGTCCTCTCCTCTTGGAGTTTAGCTACAGACTTTTTCTCAACACCCAGAACGACAATGTCTTTCCCTCTGATGCCCACCTACACAAAAGAACAATGATTAGTCAGCATATTACAATTTTCTGATATGCTCAGTGCGACTGCAATAAAGACGACCTGGAACAAAACCTGTGTTTGCTAGCTAGTTGGGCTAGTTGGTAGGTTAGCAATAACATGCAAGTCATGCTGTCCCCGCTGAATGAGTATCTCGTTGTTAGAAAGTTAGCTAGCTAGTTAGTTGAATTAGCTAGATAATATACTTATTCACAGACATAGTAAATTGTCAGTTCAAATTCACAAAGCAAATGAAGTATGACAAATGCAAGACTGAATGGAAAGTAACTCGTTAACTAAAGCTAACGTTAGCCTTGCTAAACTGGCTAATTTAGCTAGCTAATAACACTCACCGCAGTAGAGCCTTTTTTCACAGCCTCTTGTGCATATTCCACTTGAAACAGGTGTCCATCGGGGGAAAATACTGTTATAGCTCTGTCATATCTAGCGGCCATATCTAGCCACTATGAAAGGTAAAAATACGAAGAAGTGTTCACTTGCTAGCTAAATAAACCGCTAAGGATTTGGACTGGTACAAATCTGCGCATGCGGTTCTAGCTACACACAGAAGGGGCGGGGCGGTTGGTGCGATTGGACAGAAATGTACTAACCGGAAGTCCACAAAACAAAATGTCAATTTGAAGAAGAGCTATTTTACAGTTAAAATGCTAGCTAGTTAGTTATTTTTAGGTATACAATCGTGAAATAAACTAAGAAAAAATTGCTAATTTCAGTATTGGCAGTTTGAGTATTGGTTTAGTCTGAAAATCTGTGGCGATAGGCTTGAGCATGCCTGCTTCTTCTTCTTCTTCTTCTGTGGGTTTTATGGCGGACTACAACCCAAAAAGGTGTATTGCCGCCACCAGCTGGACGGGTTGAAACCAAAACAAGGTAAAATAAAAATTAAAAATTAAAATCCATATGTGATAGGGAAACTAACTTAATCCACCCCAAAAAAAATAGTACATTGACAAAACAAAACTCCCACTTCTTCCTTCTTTCAATTCTCCATATCTCCCTTCTCAGGCTCTAGGGCCTGAGAGGGTGGTACGGCTTGTGACAATATTCCATGTAACTCCTTCGCCGATAAATCTTTCAGCCCCAGGAACCGCGCTGCCGCTTCCACAATGATTTATATCTTCCTGGACCTTCTCTCCACCTTGGCAGTGCCATTTATCACCATAGCTATAAAGGCCACAAAGTCCACCTTCTTAACCTTTAAAATGTCAGGATCCTTCTGGTGAAAGGCAACCCCTGCAGCCTGCAGTGAAGGCCTATCCACCACCATGGACTCTTCAAGTGCACCATTCAAACCCTCAACCCTTTTAGCAGCTGCTGCATATGATATGCTCTGGATAGCCCTGACTTTGGCCACCTCATTCTCTTTCACCCTTGTGGGGCATTCGAAAGACGTGACTTCATGGTTCCCACCACAATTGCAACATGTCACATTTATCACTTTTATAACACATAATATGATCTTTTCCACTACTTGGACATCTCGGCTTCTTCCTTCTACAAACACTTGAAACATGACCAAAAGCTTTACATTGATTACACTGCATTGGTCTTGGGATAAATTATCTGACTCTGTAGTTAATATACCCTAACTGCACTTGAGTAGGGAGAGACTCCATATCAAAAAACAAATGCTCTTCACTTTTTCTTCATTCACCACACGATTCATCTGATGTGCATCAATCACACCAGGAACATTTTTAATCTCTTCAACATCTACTTCCCACGAGACTCCAGATATAAGGTGACCTGTTCCTAAGAGACACACACAACACTTTAAACTTATCAAATCGGGTGAGACGTAACACACGTTTCTTCTGATCCTCAGAAGCACAAAAAATCTAAACCAGCCCGCCTCTCGTGATTCTCACAGCCTTCACTCCACCAGTTTGGATATCTCAAATTGATTCCTCAAGATTGGTAATTCGATCAGCTGCTCCTCATTTACAAACCGTACTCCTACTAGATACGAAGGGACGTTCTCATCACTGTACATGACTTTGCTCCGTTTTCCATTCTTTTGGACAACATTCCAATTCTCTTTGATTCTACCGCCATTAGATACAAAATCCACTTCATCATCCGCTTCCGCCATCTGGCCGAAGAAGAAGAAGCCTGCTTTCGAGGAGTTTGCTTGGAGGGACGAGCTGCCAGAAGAGGGATTTTTGAAATCGTTGAAAAACAAACAAACTTTACTCGGTGTGGCGGACGTTCGGCACGGCCGTGCTATGAATGGGTCAGAGATGGTAGGAGATCGTGATGGAGAGGAAAGTGAAGCAAGTATGGAACATTGTGGTACAAATAAAGGAGGGAGTAAGAAAGAGAAAAAGAAAGCGGGAGAGAAAGGGAGTAGGGGTATGAAGGGGAGCGAGAGGTCTACGGAGGTAGAGATGAGGCAGAAAAGGATGTTTGAGGAGAGCAATCTAGCTTCCAACGCTAGCGGAAGTTCGGAGGTAGAAAGTGCAGAGAAAGGGCAAGATAAGACACGAGAGGAACATGGAGGTGAGGAGGAGCATATAGTGATTATGAAGTTTAGGGAGAAAGGGGGAGTTGGGGTGATGAGTCCGATAAGGTTGACGGCTGTGATAAAAGAGTTGATTGGGGAAGTTGTTAATGCTAAAGTGTTAAGAGATGAGAGATTGTTGGTGTGCTGTAAGGACATGGCGCAGAGGGAAAAAGCTATCGGAGTGAAGCAAATAGGGAAGTGTAAGGTGGAGTTGAGCAGCTGGACTGATCAAGCAGGGAAGCAGTGGAATGAAGGGGTGATAACAGGAGTGCCTGTGAGTGTTAGCACTAAAGAGGTAAAGGAACATTTGAGAGGAGGCGTTCTAGTGAATGTACACAAATTGCAAGCAACAAGGGGTGGAGAAAGGGTAGATAGCACATCTATTCTGTTACATTTTAAGGACCGGGTACTGCCAAATAAGGTAACAATAGGATATATGAGTTACTATGTGAGGGCTTATGTACCGAAGCCTTTAAGATGTTATGAATGCCAGAAGTTTGGGCATGTGGCAACAGTCTGTAACGAGAAAAATAGGTGTGCCAGGTGTGGAGGCGAGCATGAGTATGGGAAGTGTGGAGATGGTGTACAGTCGTGGTCAAAAGTTTTGAGAATGACACAAATATTAATTTTCACAAAGTCTGCTGCCTCAGTTTTTATGATGCCAATTTGCATATACTCCAGAATGTTATGAAGAGTGATCAGATGAATTGCAATGAATTGCAAAGTCCCTCTTTGCCATGAAAATGAACTTAATCCCAAAAAAACATTTCCACTGCATTTCAGCCCTGCCACAAAAGGACCAGCTGACATCATGTCAGTGATTCTCTCGTTAACACAGGTGAGAGTGTTGACGAGGACAAGGCTGGAGATCACTCTGTCATGCTGATTGAGTTAGAATAACAGACTGGAAGCTTTAAAAGGAGGGTGGTGCTTGAAATCATTGTTCTTCCTCTGTTAACCATGGTTACCTGCAAGGAAACACGTGCCGTCATCATTGCTTTGCACAAAAAGGGCTTCACAGGCAAGGATATTGCTGCTAGTAAGATTGCACCTAAATCAACCATTTATCGGATCATCAAGAACTTCAAGGAGAGAGGTTCAATTGTTGTGAAGAAGACTTCAGGGCACCCAAGAAAGTCCAGCAAGCGCTAGGACCGTCTCCTAAAGTTGATTCAGCTGCGGGATCAGGGCACCACCAGTGCAGAGCTTGCTCAGGAATGGCAGCAGGCAGGTGTGAGTGCATCTGCATGCACAGTGAGGCTAATACTTTTGGAGGATGGCCTGGTGTCAAGAAGGGCAGCAAAGAAGCCACTTCTCTCCAGGAAAAACATCAGGGACAGACTGATATTCTGCAAAAGGTACAGGGATTGGACTGCTGAGGACTAGGGTAAAGTCATTTTCTCTGATGAATCCCCTTTCCGATTGTTTGGGCCATCCGGAAAAAATCTTGTCCGGAGAAGACAAGGTGAGCGCTACCATCAGTCCTGTGTCATGCCAACAGTAAAGCATCCTGAGACCATTCATGTGTGGGGTTGCTTCTCAGCCAAGGGAGTGGGCTCACTCACAATTTTGCCTAAGAACACAGCCATGAATAAAGAATGGTACCAACACATCCTCCGAGAGCAACTTCTCCCAACCATCCAAGAACAGTTTGGTGACGAACAATGCCTTTTCCAGCATGATGGAGCACCTTGCCATAAGGCAAAAGTGATAACTAAGTGGCTCGGGGAACAAAACGTCGACATTTTGGGTCCATGGCCAGGAAACTCCCCAGACCTTAATCCCATTGAGAACTTGTGGTCAATCCTCAAGAGGCGGGTGGACAAACAAAAACCCACAACTTCTGACAAACTCCAAGCATTGATTATGCAAGAATGGGCTGCCATAAGTCAGGATGTGGCCCAGAAGTTAATTGACAGCATGCGGATTGCAGAGGTCTTGAAAAAGAAGGGTCAACATTGCAAATATTGACTCTTTGCATAAACTTAATGTAATTGTCAATAAAAGCCTTTGACACTTATGGAATGCTTGTAATTATACTTCAGTATACCATAGGATCATCTGACAAAAATATCTAAAAACACTGAAGCAGCAAACTTTGTGAAGACCAATACTTGTGTCATTCTCAAAACCTTTGACCACGACTGTACTAAGAAAGTGCTGCAACTGTGGGGGTGCTCATAGTGTGGCATATAGTGGGTGTGAGGCTATGAAGAAGGCAGTGGAGGTGCAACAAGTGAGAGCGGAGAGAAGGGTGTCATATGCTGAGGCAGTGAGGGTGGTCCAGGAGAGAAGGGTGTCATATGTCAGGGGATACCTGGCTGTCAGGCCCTACATGGATGCAGTGGTGTCTCTATTCACTCTGATGCTGGACACTGGACTACCATGCTTCAGAGGACAGACCATCAAACTGCTCAAGCAGCGATTCAACCCCAGTATGAGTGAGAAGGAGGCGGCTGCTTTCATCATCAAGGTCATCCAGAGCTGCTTTCTCAGCAGCAGGAGTAAGACCTATGATATGCTTCAGTATTACCAGAACCAGATCCCATACTAAAGACCTGGTTGCAGTATTATCACATACTGAAGACTTGGGACCTGTCTGATACGAGTCCTTATTCCCTATATAGGCAGTAACTTCTGCATTAGACTGTCTGATTTGCATTTAGTATTACGATGGTGGTGGTAGTGGTGATTAAAATGACGATGAAGACCCCAAAAGCCATTTCTCTAAACCTTGGGACAAACAGATGGGTAGTATTACATGACGACTACACTCTGATGTTATGCTAGATGTTACCTTCTTAATGTGTGTCAACATATGAAATTGCTGTCATAATCCCTTCAAAAACCCTGCTGTCGTCACGCTGTATTTATATAAATTTTCGGTCTTTATGAAGATGTTTTACTTGATAGACAGATGTAAGATTAATGATCTTTACAGACTATCATTTTAGATTAGATGGTATGTATTATTTTTGTGCTGAATGGATATGTTATTGTTAATAT